TATCTATCTATCTATCTATCTATCTATCTATCTATCTATCTATCTATCTATCTATCTATCTATCTATCTCACACATAGTCACATACAAACACACATATATACGCATACACAAATATATGTATTTAATTTGCATTCTTAGTTTTAAATACAAATCTTATATTATTTTTGTTTACTGCATAACCCAATAATTGTTATAAGAATGTTATTGAAGTTAAGAAGATGCAAAAGAATTTTAAGGAAGATGTATTTCATGTCTCCTTCATATATTTTGAACTAATATTCTGAACTGTGTTAAAAGGTCATTGAACTTGAGCTATACAGGTAGTTCTAGCTTAATGACGGCAATTGGAATCGGAATTTATGTTGCTAAGTGATGCAATCATAAAGTGTGATGTCACTTGACCACATCACTTAGTGACAGCAATCCTGGCAGTCCCTGTTGCCATTGTTAAGTGAGGATCATCGGTCATTAAGTGAGAACCTCCTCACAACTTCCTGCTGGCTTCCTACAAGCAAAGTCAGTGGGGAAGCCGGCAGAAAGTTGCAAGTCCCAGATGGATCACAAGCAGGCTGGTGTGAGGGTAAGTGGCTTTTGCTGTGTGGTGCGAGTATAGTGGGGCTGGGAGTGGCTGCTTCTGGGTGGGGTAAGGTGTGAAGAGGGCCACCATGGGCGGGGAGGTTGCTGTGGGCACACATGCTCTACAGAGTACGAGGTCCCCAGGAGTTCGTACTCTGTAGCCAGGCTTTTCAGGAGAAAAAGCTTCAGGAGTTTGAGTGACTTACAGGAATGTCTTGGAGCTTCCCTGCTGGCTTCTGTATTGACTTTGCTTGTGGGAAGCTGGCAGGGAAGATTGCAAATGATGATCATGTGACCGTGGGATGCTGCAACCATCCTAAGTGCGAGCTGTTGCCAGATGGCTGGTTTGTGATCATGTGACTGTGGGGGTGCCGGAATGGCTGGAACTTCGAGGACCAGCTATAAGTACCGCTTGTTCAGCACTGTTGAATGGTCACTGAACCAGTGGTGTTAACTGAGGACTATTTGTAGTACAGTGATATATTTTGAACTCAAAACAGAACCAGCTCAAAATACCTGGTTTTGATGTTGAAGCAACTGCTTTGATCTTACTTGAAGTGGTTTGATGCTGTTCCAACCATACTGGAAGTTTTCCAAACTCCAAATGTGTCCAAGCACAAAACAGAAGCTTGAAACATACTCAAAACATACTCAAAACAGCTCTCTCAAGTGTGCGATAAAGCATTTTGAGCTCAAAATATTTTGAATTTGAACTGTTTTACATACTCTTGCTCTGTTCTTCAGTCTTTTCCTTGACACAGAATTTGCAAAGCAAGAGAATTTTTCATTTAGGAGAAGAGAAAAATAGTTTACACCGTACTATGTATCTTAAGATTTATGAAGGGAAATGGTGTTTGTGTGAAAAATAGAAGGAAAAAGAATAATTTCAAGTCTGTTCTTTTTTGTGTGTGTCAGGCAGCTTCTAATTTCTTCTTTGAAACTAATTGCAAGGCCCATTTGAAACTCCTAGTTTTGCTGGATGGTGTTGGCGGTGTTAAAAAGACAAAACACCTACTGTTTGTGGTTGGTTTTAGAAAACCAAAACTCATACTCTTTGCGTTACTGGGGTGATTAGAAGTGGAGGAATTCCCTTTTTATTCTTCTATCACCAAGTCTCTTGATTCCATGCTTCAGGCAGAGAAAAAGGAGTCTGTGGTTACAGATTCCGTATATATTTTTGAAAAGCATTATGTCTCAGAATCTGATTGGTTTCCACATTGCTGTAAGTATCAGTATCTCCCTGGCAACATAAACCCTTTCATAAGTTATATAATGATTAATGTTATAGTCAAGATCCTTTAAGGTTTTTAAAAAATCAGTTTCTCAAAGTTACAGCTTCCACTGTTTTTTTTGCAGTTATTTGACTTGAATGCATATTGGTATATCCTTGTACTTCAAGGATAAAAAAAAACACGTTTCCTTAGGAACCTTCATCTTCTTGCTAGAATTTTCACATGAAGGCATTATGACTCCATGTTGGCAGTGTGTCCAATTTTTTTTCACCTATTTCACTCATGTTTCTTAGGTAAAATAAATATTGCAGTGTATTCTTTTAGATTTTTGCCTATTTATTTGGATTTAAAAGCCTATGTGAACAGATGCATGGGAGGAAAAGGAAACATGCTAAGGAAGACACTGGCATTGTGATAGCTGGACAGTGTTCTTAAGCTACTTGCAAGGCTCAGAAATATATTCTGCAGTTTTACTCTGAATCAAGCTGAATTAAAGTTAACTTACCCAGCAGTGCTTTCTGCTTAAAAAAAATCCCTGTTCTAATGCACTAGTCACTGATAAATAGATGTCTTCATGGCATTTATGTATTCCTTTGATATGAAAAGCAACAGGTAAAAACCTAGATCACATTACAGGTTGCTTTTCATCTGGTCTCCTTTTTTTTTTAATTTGAAAAAACTAATATGTTGGGTAAATTAGCACTCTTTCAGAAATCCATTTTGTGCCATCAGCTCCCGGCTCCCCACCAGTTCTACCAGCGGTGAACTTGTTCTCTGAAATGAGATGTTCCTTTTACACAGCAGAGACCTCTAAAGCTGGCCTGTTACTTGCTCCTGCAGTTTCCATGGCTGAAAATATAGACAACTACTTATTTAATGTCACATACAATTAAGCGGAATCTTAAGTATAATCTCAATATATATCAGTGATGGAAAACAAGATCCGAAATTGTTGCTTTAATATTGTAATTTACAATGGAAGCAAATAAAAATAAGTGATGTACTGCTGTGAAATAGAGCATATTTGTGAGAAAGTTTTTAAGTTTTTAAGACTTTTATGTCTCTTTTCTGCCACCTGTAAAGAGACAGGATTCTGTCTCTTCATGAAATTCACGAAAGATAAGAAGCATGAATTCATGAAAGATAAGAAGCATTAATCTTTTTCATAAACAGGTTACATTGCTCTTGAGAGTGAAATAATGCCTTAGTTGGATCCTCAACATGGTATGGGTGTATAACTATGTCTCTCAGTTGCCATTATATTGAATATATCACACTCTGAAGATTTGAAGGCAGATGGTGAATTCCTCTTCAATGGATGTATTCAAAAAGAGGATGGACAGCCATCTGTTAGTGTTGCTTTAATTTGGATTCATATACAAAGCTAGAGATTGGATTCAGTGGCCTGACTGACCCATTCTGATGCTGTGTTTCTATGATACAAAATTAGAAAAATAATGCAGCTGTAAAAGTGAAGGGAGAATTTTATTTGATGGTTGCATAAATATTAATATGCTACAGAAGATAGAGTGAAATATCTCCGGCATTTATTGATATGATTTTAATAGTAGACTTAAAATAGGACAGATTTTAATTATAGACTTTAAAAATGTGGAACATATATATTTTCTTATGCTTTTAGAGAGTTTAATCCTGAAAGAAACTGAACTAACATGTTCAGGTTTGCTGGATTCATAGATTTTAAATTTCTACAGAATTAATAAGAACAATTGGATTTGATTATAACAACAACAACAAAAAGGCATGTTTTGTTTGGCATTTGGGAATTTTCTGTGGTGTTTTGTCACACTTGTTAAAATATATACAAAGTTATTATTTGTTTTAACATAAACTATTAATACTTTGCATTCTTAAAATAGCCAGATTCTGCAAAAGACTCTTAGTTACTACATGTTTCCTTCACTATTAATATCATGAACTTAATAGACAACTTTTGAATAATAATGTTATCAAAGAACCCCATGAGACTGTTTAGAATAAGGATAAAAATTAAATTTAACTTGCTGTATAATTGTATTATTTATTTTAAAAGTACCGTATTTTTCCGACTATAAGACGATACTTTTTTCTAAAATCCTTACCCTAAAAACGGAAGGGCGTCTCATTCAAGG